AAAACATAAAAAATAGACTTTACTACAACTTTAAGAGGAATAGATTATATGGAATCTTAGCTTACTTTCTACATACTGTATACTGCACATATGTCACAGTCCTTGTACACACACAAATATGCCTTAATTCCTGTGCTAGTCTAGCAGACACAAATAAACCTTGGCACAACTGATCATTTTAAAGAAGGAAAATCTTCCATCATATACTGTATGTTTTTCTGGACACTGAATGTACAGAGAGACCTAAAACATTGTTTGATCCTACATTAAAGTGGTTATAAAAGCAAAAGGTTTTTACCTTAAGGCATTCTCTGCAATAAGACAAAAACCTTTCAAGAGCTGCTCTCCCCAGTCCCCCCTTATACACTTACCTGAGCTCTTTCTTAACCCATCGCTGTTCCCCTCTGCAGCAGCTCTTCTCCCATCTCTCTCTTCTCACAGAAGACTTGGCACTAGTGATAACCATTGGCTCCTGCTGCTGCCAATCAAATCCTGTAGGGAGGGAACAGGGGGGTGTTAAGCCATGGTGTGTGTGTCTATGGATGTACACAGCCTGGCTTTGCAGCATGCCCACATAGGTTCCCCATAGCTTGAACATCATATAGAGTAGTGTTATAGTAATTCTACTACTACTGTATGTGACAATTTCCTATCTGTCAACGGTTGCTTATGAACCATGGAAGGCACCTGACCCCATTTATTTTCTGGCTGGGAATTTCACATAAGAATTTCTTATAATACTTAGTGCTATATAGTAGATAAATACAGTATGACAAATAAAGCAAAAAATGATGTAGCGCTAAAACAAAAAAATAATAAAAAAAATAAATAAATAAATACTCTGTTAATGAATCATATTAAGCACATAGTCAATATAAACAAAGTAACACACTCCTTAACATGTAAAAGGAAAAATAGTGCGTGATGGAACTAGATGAGTGAGATCTAAAACACGTGTGAGACCCCTGCACACAGTGCACATATCAAAAAAGTCCAGTGATTGATATCATATCATATGGAGGATGTCTTCTTCTTTCATCCTATTGGGATTTGAGTTGGGATCCATCCTGCTCATCTGACCATTAAGGATATTATAGGAGAGGTGGAATCAGTGTACTGGGGACATATCTTCAAGTCATCTACCCAAGAGGAATATTATCTTGATCCAGTGGTGATATTACATGCTCTGTGGCCTTGCAGGGTCGCAAATAGGAGGTGAGAGGCCATTTCAGCCGGTTTTGGATTGCACTTCGGGGTGTGCGGGTCCACACACAGTCCATTGATTTTGTATGAGTGGAAGGCATGTGATACCGATCACTGGACTTTTTTGATATGTGCACTGTGTGCAGGGGTCTCACACGTGTTTTAGATCTCACTCATCTAGTTCCATCAAGCACTATTTTTCCTTTTACATGTTAAGGAGTGTGTTACTTTGTTATATTGACTATGTGCTTAATATGATTCATTAACAGAGTATTTATTTATTTATTTTTATTATTTTTTTTGTTTTAGCGCTACATCATTTTTTGCTTTATTTGTCATACTTCATCAGATCTATTGGTATAGGATCAGATGTTAGCAGCTATATGTGCTTATTTATTGATCATTTAACATTAGAGCGCAAGTAGATTTTGTATATTATTAGATAAATACAGTATTTTGCATTTTAGATCGATTAAAAAACATTCATCCAGCACAGGAAATAGCCTAATAGCGTTATTTTTTTTACTGCATTCACACAGAACAAATGTCCATGTACTTTTACAGAGCAAATCACTATGCATTTTATAAATACATTCCTAATTAATGGCTATTTTCTAGGCCAATAGGCAGGGGATTGCCAGGGCCCTGCCCTGGCAAGCATGTACCAGATTCTGTTTAGTGCAAAGCAGTGATTTTAATACTGCTTTAAGGTCAATATTAAAAATACAAAATTTCTTTAAATAACTTGCCTGGGGGGGGGAGCCCTTAACCCGCCCATGAAGTGGTGCATCTGTATGATGTACACAACCTACTACAACAAAACTGACACTTGCAAATAAAACAAATGCAGTTTAACCCCTTGCCCACCTGTGTACAATACTTTTACTGTGATTGGGCGAGATGTACTGGTACGTCGTGGCTCACATGTGCACTGGCCTGCCCTTGCTGTGAGTGACCGGAGAATCGTGATTGGTATGACAATCATTCAATCACAGTGAACACATGATTACAATTTAACCCCTTCCCACCTGCCGACCCTTTAAGAGTTTCAGAAGCCGGGAGGCAGGGCGGGGTTTCGGGATCATGTGACACGTCGTCACGGTGGTCACATGATCGGGAAAGGCCCTGATCGAAAGAGCAGACTGGGAACTTTTCGTGAGTAGCGGGAGTACGGACATGTGTGCTGGGAGCGTGCTCTCAGCACATACAGTATGTTTTTTTCTTACCTGTACGCAAATGTGCAGCCACTCGGCATCAAGGCCCAGACGTCGGGAGGCTGCACATTTGTGTGCGGCCGGCGTGAAGGGGTTAAGCAAAACTGTCATGAATGGCTTTCATTCCTGACATTTTGCTTACTATTGTGATGCTGTGTTTGGTCACAAGTGATCACATGGTACCTGGGCAAATCACAGCATCCTGTACCATATGATCACTTGTGAGCAATCACAGCATCACAATAGTAAACACTAAGTCATGAATGAAAGCCAATCATGACTGTTAAAACTATTGCTTCTAAAAGTGATGATCACTGTTAATAATAATAGTGCAGAGTCACGAGTAGTACAGAGTCACTAAGAAAAAACGGAATAAAAGTGATTATTTGTTTTTCTACATACTGTAAGCAGTCAGCATTCTTTATCACTGCCTCAGCAGTGATTTAGTGATGCTGTACTCCACTAGTGACAATACGTAAAACATATTTAATTTCTCCATTTTCCCAAAAATTACAACTTCATAAAAACTCACCATGTTACTTAATAAATACCTCGGACTGTCCACTTTCCAAAAAGGGGTCATTGTGTGGGTATTTGTACTGTCCTGGCATTTTAGGGCCTCAAGAAATGAGATAGGCTATATATATACAGTATATATATATATATATATATATATATATTATATATATACTATGGACTATAGGGGGAGAGAAACCAATACTGTGTGTGCTATATGTCCACATCCCAGCAAGTCATGTACAACTATAAACAGAATATGTAGTCATGGACTTTGTGTGGACATATAGAAGAGAAACTTTATTATATACCAGGGGTGGGCAACTGTGGACCTCCAGCTGTTGGTGAACTACAAGTCCCATCATGCCTCTGCCTTTGGGAGTCATGCTTTTAACAATCGGTTTTGCAATGCCTCATGGGACTTGTAGTTCTACAACAGCTGGAGGGCCACAGTTGCCCACCCCTGGTATATACCATTAAAAATCTATTACATAACATTAAATATGACTCTCCACATAGGGGTTTTACAACTTGCAAAGATTCCTGGATCGATGTGAACTGAGTTTGTTTCTAAGATACTTATCAAGAGCCCCCTCATTGGAATATATGTGCCTTGACTACTTTGACTACAATTCTGTCTTTGTGGTGACTTACATTGGGTCTGGATTGTTCCCCACTGGGAAGTTGGTCCCTCTATTTAAAAATATATGTACAAGACCATTGGTTGTTTGCTGAATGTACCTGGATTTCCCACCCAAGAGGAAATAGCATCACCTTGGTTTACTCATTTACACCTCTATGGGCAACATGCACATGCTATGAATTCCAGTCTACCCTACTGGCTAATATTACTCTATTAAAGATTAGGAGTGGGTTCCAGTGTGCTGATTCTGTCACGTGTGCTCCTGAAGAAGGATTCCCGAAATGGGTCCTCATGTGAATTGTAATCAGAATCTTTGCATGTTGTGAACCTCTATGTGGAAAGTAATTTTTATGTTGTCTAATAGATTTTAATGGTACATAATAAAGTTGTTTTTTATGGTACTCGCTTTCTCTTCTATGTGTCCACACAAAATCCATGACTAAATAGTCTGTTTATACTTGTACGTAGTTTGTAGACTCTATAACTTTCAAACAGACTAAATAATATACACTTATTTGGATTAATTTTAACAAATAAATGTAGCAGATACATTTTGGCCTACATTTATGAAGAAAGATAATTTGTTTGCTGAATTTTATAATTGAAACTATATAGCCAAAAATAAAAAAAAATACTGGTAATTAAATACCACTAAGACAAAGCTTTATCTGTGTGAAAAATGATATAAATTTAATTTGGGTAAAAGTCTGTATGACCGAGCAATTGCCAGTTAAAGTAGCACAGTGCTGAATAGCAAAAATGCCCTGTCATGAAGGGTGTGTAAAACCTTCCAGAGGTCAAGTGATTAAATTGCTTCCAAATGAAAACTTCAGCCACTTACTTTTGTTTGTACAAAAAGCATCTGGGGATTCCCTATGTGCATACAAGATCTATAACCTAGGTGAGGATCTGGTGCAGATGTTAATGGGGAGCCGCTACACACAAAAAAAGGCATGGCATTCCTCCTAATAAAACAACCTAACACCTTAACCACTTAAGTTTTCACATCTGTACACCCCTAGGGACTAGAGCGCTTTTTACATTTCTGCTCAGCCTTTTTAATCAGCAATAACTTTGTCATTACTTAACCACTTGCCCTACTGAGGATTTACCCCCCTTCCTGACCAGGCCATTTTTTGCATTATGGCGTTTCATTAACTGACAATTGCGTGGTCATGCAACGCTGCACCCTAATGACATTTACGTCCTTTTTTTTTCCCATGAATTGAGCTTTCTTTTGGTTGTAGTTGATTGCCTGGGCATTTTAAATTTTTTTGCGCTATAAAAAAAAAGACCGACAATTTGCTAAAAAAAATCCCAATACGTGTAAATTAATTGGTTTACATGAAATTTATAGTGTTTACAAATAGTGGTATAGATACTGGAATGTTTTTTTCTTACTAGTAATGGCTGCAATCAGCGACTTATAATGAGACTGTGGCGGGCATTCTGACACTCGGGGGAACTGACTTGGTGTCACTGACATCCCCAGTGACATCAATACAGTGATCAGTGCTACAAAAAAGCACTGACACTGTACTAATGACACTGGGCAGGAAGGGGTTAATATGAGGGGTGATCAAAGGGTTAACTGTATGCTGGAAGTGTTTTTACTGGGGCGTGGTGTGTTGGTGCTTCTCTGTAAGCACACTGCTCTGGATGGCTATGCTGTGCACAGCCATCCAGAGCAGTGTGCCCAAGCCGACAGAGAGGAGGACTGTTAGTAAACAAAGCAGTCCTTTTCCCCATTGCAGATGCTCGGTAATCACTGGGCGCCGGCGGGGAATCACCGACCGGGACCCAGTGATTGACAACCATGGCCAAGACCCTACCCGGAAATGCAAAATACTCCTGCCTACCTGTGTATGACCCTGGCCTGGCTCCTGACCACTTCTCTTCTTCCAGTCATCTTACCTTGGTCTAGACCCCAGACTTCATCTTCCTGCCTACTAATATCAGGTCCTGGTTACCCTGCCTACCAGGTCTGTCTTCCAGGTCTTACCCTGAACTTCTACATTACCAGTGCATGGGCTGCCTGCCACAATTGATCATGAGGTGTCCTTCTGCTGCATCTGTCAGCATCTCTGCAGACCACCTCTACTGATCACCATCTGTTGTCTAGGGCTCTGGCACCCGTGCTACCCTAATGCTCGCAGCCCTGTTCTCACATTCAGGTGTGTTTGGACCAGAGCCGCAAGGGAAGCCCTCTCATCATTCCAGCCTCCACCAAGGTACATGACACAGTGATACACTTGGTCTGAAAATTTTTTCTGCAGAGGCTATACAAGGTCACCCAGGGAAGATCTTTGGAGCAGTAGTGACAGTAAATACTTTAATATGTGGGTTACACAGAAGGGAGGGGGAAGACACTTTGAAAGACAAATTTAATCAAACCAAAACTGTCCATTAAGGGAGTGGGATGGTTCAAAAATATAGTGACCATTTGCAGCTCACCCCTCTAATCACACCAAGCACCCATCCTTCCACATGCACACTCCAGACACAAAGTTATTTTCCTCATCATATTCAAAATTACATTTCAAAGTTAGTTATAGAAATCACAAATAAATTATCAATTAATATTAAACACCCCTAAACATAAGCATGCACATTAAACCTTTTTCCTTACCACATTTTCATTGCTCAATGAAGTGACATATTTTACTCATTTTCTATTAAGATAGAAATATATAGTGTAATAAATAATTGAGTACAAACCATGGAAAAGTTAGACGCAAGAAAACAAGAAAATGCAGCAAATCCAATTTTAAGAGATTGACTCTATCTAGTAAGCAATAAGCATAAAGCATAAACACAAATGCTTAGATCACAAGTACAAGTAATTTTTCAAATGCGATGTAATAGAAATCTGCGCTTCAGTTTTTCATAGCTAAGTTCAATCAGAGGAGAACATTCTTTTCACTACAACAAACATAGCACAAGCCCTGGCTATTAAATAGTTTTCATTCCAAGTGCTTGTAAGAAGATACAAATTACTGTTTAGATTCTATATTTCTTTGAAAGTACAATCAATCGACTGGCATTTTCCACTATTATTGGCTCCAGGTTACATCAATCTATGTAACTTAATAGCATTTTGATAGAACATGATGTCTTTAAGACTTAAGAAATGCCTAATAGAAATCTGGCTTTGCCCTGGATGTAGGCAGAAGTTACTTTTCTCTCTCGGAATCAATGTTCTTTTCCCAGCAATCTTTTATGGCTTAATTGTAAAGGAAACATACATAAATGTACACAAAACACCCACATATGCCTTTTTGAGGTTCAATATACAAAGTAGACAGAGTGCCTGGGTTTGAGTCTATAACCTTTATTTTATCACTGGTTCACACAGAGCCTTGTAGAACATTTGTCATTACTAAAAGATGTCTTTATTTCTGCATAGGCAACAAATAAGGTTAACATTGACGGATATGTGCTATTTTTCACGTTAGGCAACAGAAATAAGCAATGTGAAAATTTGTTACCTGATTCAAATTGGCCTAGTTTGTGAATCTCAGAAATAAATGCATACTGGCTATCTGTGGACCTGGTCTTCTAATTTTTTTCTTTTTTAGATATAAAGTACTAGCCTAGTATAACATGCCTACAATAGTTTTCCCTTCAACTGAAGAACTTTAAACATGCCGACCCCTTCCTTTGCTAATTCCAACTTGTTAGCACATGGTTGGCAAGAGGAAAGACCTCAGAAACCTGTCTGAATGCTTCAAAGTTCTAGACAAGTGCTGAAGCTGCACTGGTATCTTCTTCACTGTTGTTACTACATATCAAAGTATTTATAGAAATGTGAACAATAGAAATTTGGAATAAAAGAATTGGCCTAGTTTCACCTTTTTTTGAGCCATTAAATTGTTATAAATATTTTACAGGCTCCATGCACACCATACCAAACCTTTTACTAGGCTGCAATTTCAGAGACAGAGACTGGGCAGGTTTTACTAAAATAACAAATAGAGTGTTTTATTTCTGAAACAAAAGCCAAAAATATTTTACAGACTCTCTGCACACTATGTAAGAATTTGTAATAGGCCACATACAATAGAAACAATTTAGAGACAATAGCCAGAAATATTGTACATTCACTGTAGAATGTGGACAGCTTGGTTAAGTCGCAATCAAATAGTGCATTATTTCAGAGAGACAATAAATTTGGCTTGTCAGAGCAATGGAATAGGCCAAGATTGTCCTGATGATGCATAACCTTCTTACCCCCACTAGCTACACATGAATACTTTTTGCCTCTCCCTTTAGACCTCACAGACATGATGAATAGAGAGGATTGCCTAACTTTATTAGCAGCTTTGGCAATAGGGGGCTTGAGAAAGTGTTGCTTTGGTGCAGTTAAGAATTTTCTTATTTGGTACAATAAACTGTACCACACTTGTGTGTGGTGATATGTTGCAAACAAAGGGCAGTTTTGCCTGTATTGAGAACAAGTTCATGCTGCTGACCCTGAAATAGCAAAAAAGACACAAGCAAAATATACCTTCTTCAACAAAAAACCTAAAACACTAAACCGAATTGAGACTGCAAAGGGAGTACACAATATTGCATAGTGCACAACAATGAAATTTACAGTAATGTAGCGCAGTACAACACAGTGAACACAGAGAGTATAGAGGTGTAACTGTAGCCCACCTTATTGTAATTCACTGTAATGTGGCAGAATACAGCACTGTGTATAGGACTGTTTATACTGTAGCATTGTTCAGCACTGTAGAGTATAGGAGCAACTATATCTCCATACAAACACTCTATCAGCTCTTCCTATCTACTATAAATGTCCACACTAACAGAAGGCTCCTGGGAAGCATGACTTTTATAGGGAGGAGGCTGGCACATATGAAAGCCCAAGCTTGTCAGTTCCTGACTTTACCATAGTTCAAAGGTCATAAAGTGCATTATCGGTAATTAATTGCTATAGTGGTGAATGGCTGCACTAGTTTGTCTCTGTTAGAAATATGGGGACAGTAGTCTTTTATAGCATACATGTCACTGTAATTGCAATATCCATCCATTTCAAAGAGTAGCCCTTATTTTCAGCAAAAGCAAAATTAATTTGTGTAACTTTTCTACTATAAACATAGAACTTAAAGCGTATCTACAGCCAAACTGTTTTTATTAGTTATGTATAGAGGGAGCATTAGAATATTTCATATTTCACTGCTGTTTGGGGCTCTGTTGGAAATATTTCCTCTTACTTACTGTCCTGTGGTTAACCTTTTCACCAGACAAGGAGTGAAGGAAATGTGTACAGGGGGATTGCAGTAACATTAATGGCTGAGAGTGGCACAGATGCTGGAACACAATCTTCCCTACTGATCATGCACAGGGTGGTTGTAGAGTCTTTTCCATTCCTTGCCAACCAGTGCTGCTTGCGCTCTGAGTTGTCACAGACTAAAGATGTCGCACAATGAGAGCATATGGGGTGTGGTTTTCTTCTGGGGCCATTTACCAGCTGATCGCTGGAGAATGAGAATAACTTGCAACAAATGGTTCTGCAGGTTTGTGTAGCCAGGTGCTTGGCTAGAGACAGAGAGTGATTTAGGACCTTGTGCTGCAGTGCTTTATGTATCTCCACCGGACCTTAGGCTGATTGGGGTAACACTATCTCACCTCAACCCACCAGGGGGAGCTGACAAGCTAAAGGAGCTCAAGAGACTTAAATGTTGGCACCAGTGAACTATGGAAGACGTTGTTTGAGAAGGGAAATCTGCTCTGTAAATCAATGACTGCAGTTCCCAGGGAGAGAGTGTTAGGAGGAGGTTGAGAGATCTGTATTTTCGTGGGTTGCAGACTGAATGACTTCCTCTTGATGCAAGAGGGACTGGAGAGTGCACATCTATATTCCTGGGTGCTCGCCAACCTGCCACAAGCCTGCAGCTTGAGTCAGAGATTGGAGGGTGAATAGCCAGTGTGCTGAGGACTGGAGTCACTCTAGGTGAACTGGGCTAACACCTGGACAGTGGAACCAAAGTTGCTGTATTACTGGGATTGGTGAGACAGCACTGCTGTCATTGACCTGTTGCTGCTAACAGAGACTGAGCACATAGGGACTGTCAATCTAACTAGTAGCCTTTACCACTGCATGAACACTTTACTGGGACAGTACTGTGTGCATCACCATAAAGACTGGGTCCCAACACTAGCCAGCTGAAGACTTAGGGCACAGCATTGTTCCCTCAGATAGCTGTGTTACAAGAAACTTGCTTGCTGTACATAGTAGGAGGTACCTCTGTAGGGAGTCTTAAATTCTAGAGTAGCCATTTACAGTATGAAGAGTGCACTCTAAGCAGTTATAATCTACTGGTTGCAGAGAAGTTACTGCAGCATTGATTGCCACTGCCGTTACTGTTTATCTATGCCATTATGTAACGCTATAACAAACAGAAAAAAAAGGGAGGAGCCCCTGCAAGCCATTGACGTCTATGCCACCGGATCATGGAGGTCCGGTGGCCACCCCATGACACCAGCTGGTCAGTTTTTGCTTTTTACACAATTTGTCACCAAATTGCTCCTGTGCATATTGCATTCATGTATGTTTTTTTGGATATATCCTTTTTTAACCATTAAAGTATTTTCTGAATTACTACACTATGGGAATATCCCTATTATATGCTCCACCTCGAGCATTTTAATCCCTTAGTGGTTCCCGGCCAATTTCCTATTACCTGGAAGAGGTTGAATTATTCCATATGGGCTTGTCTAAACACAGTGCCATCTAAGGAAGGTCACCTACCCCCAGGCTGCATTTTGGATCGCCCGTGTGAAGGGACCCACGACTGATTCACCACATTAGATAAAACGTGCTTTTTAATAGCGCCTC